CGCTCATGGCCCAAGTACCCCTCCCCTTAACCCAGACCTCCGAGACGCCGCATGGGCTTCCGTGCTTCCACGCTTTGACGCTCAAGGCTTGCGCATGGACAATCAGCTTAGGTCTTGGGGGTGGTTTAGGGATTCGGCTTTTGGTCTGTCGCCCACGGGGTCGGCGGCCTGAGCCGGAGGCTCTTAAATTTATGTCTATTGGGTGTCTTTGCTTTAACTTGCTCTTTTCAGGGTTTAGGGGTTTAGGGTTTAGGGTTTAGGGGTTAGGGGTTTAGGAGTTTAGGGGTTTGAGATGGTTTGAGGGTTAGGGTTTATGGTTTTAGGGCTTCAAGGGTTTAGGGTTGAGGCTTTCATTGTTTCATGTGGTCCCTAAACCCTAAACCCTAAACCCTAAACCCTTTTCAGATGTTCAGGTGCGCAAAGGCTTCGTCGGGGGTGAAACTGCGCTGTGGGAGCCCCTAAATGAAAAGTTTCAAGTCCTCAAAATAGCACGGCACCCGACACGTGACCCTAATCTAGAGAACTGCCCTAAACCCTAAACCATGAAACCCTGAAACCCTGAAACCCTGAAACCCTAAACCCGAAATGTGACCCTAATCTAGAGAACTGCCCTAAACCCTGAAACCCTGAAACCCTAAACCCTAAACCCGACATGTGACCCTAATCTAGAGAACTGCCCAAATCAAGCCTGAACTGCCTACAGAAACTGGCGACAAAAACCAGAAGTCGCCAATAGCTGAAGAACTTAGGGCCCCAAAACAGCACAGAAGCAAAAATTAGGATAGGGATATCCCATATAAATCCCCTCATAATGAAGCCCAATAGGGTAGGGATAACCCTATAAAATGCTTCTGCTTATGCGCCTTTTGGGTCCCTAAGAACTAGGTGCCTCAAGTGAAACGGGCCTGCAGTTTGGGGTTTAGGGGTTTCGGGGTTTAGGATGTCAGCTTCTGGAAACTCGGAGTGACTAAGGACTCATCTTCCTGCTCTTCCCGTCCTTTTGGGCCCTATTCTCCTTCATCAGTTGCTGAGTTCATAAACCCAAAAAAGTGCAAACTTGCAGTTGTTTAGGGGATAAGGTTGTCCCAGAAATGTAAACCCTAAACCCTAAACCCCTAAACCGTTAAAGTGCACTCACTCAGTTGCTATGTCTCGGGTCCCCGTAATTTTCTGATGCTCCAACATCTTCAGAACTGAACTCTGAGCCGTAAGGTAATCACTGAACTGTAGGGTTTAGGGTTTAGGTTTAGGGTTTAGGGTGTAGGGTGTATTCTTCTAGAGGTCCCTATAGTTTACGAGGGATTCTGCAAATTTAGGTCTCTTCGGTCTACCTCTCCTTACAATAAGTCTCCTAGCATGTGGGCTCAGACGTAACCTTAAACCCTGAAACCTAAACCCTAAAAAAACCCTAAACCCTAAACCCTAAACCCTGAAACCTAAACCCTAAAAAAACCCTAAACCCTAAACCTTAAACCCTGAAACCCAAACCCTATAAACCCCTAAACCCAAACCCCTGGAGCCTAGACATGCCTGAAGCCTGAACCCCTCAACCCTCAACCCTCCAACCCTGACCCTGAGCCCCCCCTGTAATTCCCTAAGGGTCCATGTACCCAAATAGTAGAACATTGGCCTTAATGTAGTCCCTATATGGGTACTTTAGGGCCAATGTTCTACCCTAAACCCTAAACCCTAAACCCTAAACCCTAAACCAATGTTCTACTATTTGGGTACATGGACCCTTAGGGATTTCTAAGCCCTGAGTCGCCTGAATCCCGAAACCATTAAATCCCTTAGGGTTTAGGGTTTAGGGTTTAGGGTCTAGGGTTTAGGGTTTAGGGTTTAGGGTTTAGGGTTTAGGGTTTAGGGTTTAGGGTTTAGGGTACTACTGTTGATGATATAAACCCTGCATTACCTACCTTCAAGACCCTAAACCATGGGGAATTATGGTATATTCCTTATTGTGGGTAATGCAGGATGAGAATCATCAACCGTAGATACCCTAAACCCTAAACCCTAAACCCTAAACCCTAAACCCTAAACCCTAAACCCTAAACCCTAAACCCAATACTTGCCCAAGATGCCGGATTGTAGAGAAAGCCCAGGTCTACATCGCCTCGCCTGGGCCCCGCAAGTTTGTTTTTGGTCTCTTCTGTAAGGGGCTTCGAGCTTAATCCCGAAACCACTAAATCCCTTAGGGTTTAGGGTTTAGGGTTTAGGGTTTAGGGTTTAGGGGTTCAGGGTTTAGAAAATGAAGGTGTCGGGGCTTGAAACTCAGGGTTTAGAGGTTTGGGGTTTAGGGGGTCATAGGTGCCAGGGACCAGGGTCTAAAGTGCAGGGTTTCAGGCTTTGTGCATGGTGTGTAAATTCATGTCGGTAGTTGTCAAAACTATGGTCCCTTTTGGGGTACCCTAAATAATAGGTGCCGTATTATAATAAGGACCCAAAAGGACCATAATTTTCACTCGAAAACCTGAAGGGTCATGTCAAGCCCCGCACCTGATGATACAAAACGGTTTAGGGTTTAGGGTTTAGGGTTTAAGGTTTAGGGTTTAGGGTTTGAGGGCACCACTGATTAATTACTAAAGCAAGAAACGCACAACGTGCCCAATTCTTCATACTCACCTCGTTACTTCTCCAATAAGCCAGGGAAATAAAAGGTTAAGCTTTTTCATTGTTACTAAGTTACAAGAAACCGAAAAGTTTAAAGGTTGGGTATTGGGGAACTAAGTTAAGCAAGCCCGCCAACATGGTACCCAATTCCTAAGCCCGAGCCCAAAGGCTCCATGTACCTTTATAGTAGTTACGTAAGCCTTAAAGGGGTCCCTACATAGGTACTGTAGGGCTTAAGTATCTGCTATAAAGGTACGTGGAGCCTTTGGGGAGTAGTGCAAACCCAGGCGCAAGGAGAGGACGTTCTCCGGATTCTCGTCATGCGGTCTGCCTGGAGTCAAAACCTAAACCCTAAAACCCTAA